ACAGATGTATTCATTCATTTATACACACACAGCATTATTTAATGATACTATCTTATATATATACACACATTTATTCATTTATAAACATATATATATAAACACACACTTATATGTACTCACACGTGTATTTATTCATTTATACACACAGATGTATTCATTCATTTATACACACACAGCATTATTTAATGATACTATCTTATATATATACACACATTTATTCATTTATAAACATATATATATAAACACACACTTATATGTACTCACACGTGAATTTATTCATTTATACACACAGATGTATTCATTCATTTATACACACACAGCATTATTTAATGATACTATCTTATATATATACACACATTTATTCATTTATAAACATATATATATAAACACACACTTATATGTACTCACACGTGTATTTATTCATTTATACACACAGATGTATTCATTCATTTATAAACACACAGCATTATTTAATGATACTATCTTATATATATACACACATTTATTCATTTATAAACATATATATATAAACACACACTTATATGTACTCACACATGTATTTATTCATTTATACACACACACTTCATCATTTATACACTTTATATTAATTAATTTGTACACATACATATATATATATATAAACAAAACAACACAATATAATAAAAACAGTTGCAATAATAACATAATATGGTATGATCAATTCTACCCTTTTGTTTTTGCTCCCATATTTCAATTAAAAGATATTTTTCAAAATCAATATTGGTGGGGGCTCTTTTGAAAAAGATAATCAATAACACCGCCTGACAGTTGTTGCAGATTATACCGCATACTTGTTACTTACACACATGAGCCATGATCGGAATGATCTCGTCTTGTACCCTTACTCAAGTACAAGATCTTATCACTTCTTCTTACACCTCTGGAAAGCACTTTTATGTAAAGGAATACATTTTTATAAATGTCCCAACATTTCATTTTTACATGGCAAAACGTTAATATGTTATTAATGTTAAAATAGACATTTATAACATATTATAAATGTCGATAAAATATTAAATAAACGTTAACATGTTACATGACAAACAAAAAAACGAAACATTATATATAGGCTATATATACAGATGTTTGCTAATGTATCCCTCTTATATCCATCAGGAATTAATATTAAATGATGAATTAACATTACCTCAGCACTGCATAATTGTGGTCGTCAGTCATATTGACAAAGAAGCACTATTATATTGTATATTATGCAGCGTTTATAAGGACGGTATTTTGCTTGTCAGATTCAGATTTCGCGGGTGTTGCCGTGTCCTCATTACGCTATCGCGTAGAGCTACGTCGATCCTTGCGTAATGCGGAAGTGGGCGTGGTTAAATCTAAACTGGGTTGGAATAACGATAGACGCGGCCCGGAAGCACTATTTAGACACCCCGTACCAGCATAACGTACTTTCCACTTGCCCGCTCGGGCCACTAAAAATATTGCTTTTAAAAAAAGAATTGTTCTGTGGTATTGGTATTTTGACTTGCAATTTAGTTAAATTGTTTCGTTTATTAACGCTACAACATAGCGTTTTGTGAGTCGGTTGTCGTTGTTGGGTGAAAAGCAAACAGCTGTTTTCTGCGGAGCGCTGCCCAGGAGGGCCTGGCTCATTTCGTGAGCGGGAGCGCGCTCCTTCACTACAGACTATCGCCACCTAACCATTCGCCATTAATGTGTTTAATACCAGCGGTAACCGGCCAAGCGCCGGGCAAAAAACTATCTTCAAATAAAACAAAGTCACCGGAGGAGTTAAAGGAGAGTGACAGGGAGTATGAGAAGAAGAGGGAGAGAACGTTTCAGCCAGCTTGATCGAAGGAGTTGGCGTCCTAAAACCCTTTCATAATCTATCGATTAGATTTAGGATTCGAAAATTATAAAAGTAGGGTAGACATGTGGAGATTATCGGGCTGAACAAAACGTGCATTTATCAAACAGGTTCGTTTTCCACAGACCTTATTTCCAGCTATTTTCCAAAACCCTGTGGAGAAATCCCATTGCTTTTTGTCGAGGGAACCAGGAGCTTACTTCCTGGTTTTAGGACGTGTCACTGCACCTCTCAATATGATGCCAATATAACGAAGGTCTTCTTTCGGCTCTGTACATCAATGCCGACCTATGCTGACAAGTAAGTGAAGAGTAGACAATATAAAAGGTATTGGCGAAATGTCCCAGCAGTTTAGGATAATGAAGGTTCTAATCTATTACATAGCCACTACATTTCTAACTCCTGATGACAGGAAGGCAGAAAGCGCATTATACAAATACTAATACTCATAATAGCAGACATTTTTTAACAATGACCACAATATCATTATTTTAATAAACCAAATATGAACAATTGAGGAAAATGAGGAAGAACTGATAATTCAAAGTTTGTAGTACAAGTAGTAATGTAGTTGCTGCATAAATTACTATTGCAACAAATGTGTTAATTTTCTTCATTATTAGTCTATTTTATTTGGACGAATGCTCCGGGCCAGTGGTTACAATGGTGGGGCCAGTGATAATACAATTCCACCGGCCCGGAGGGCCAGTGGCTTTTTACCCTTAATGTCTACCCCTGTAACTATCTGTAATAATCCAGTTTATCAGTTCGGGAGACATTTGGTGGTATTTGCAACTGAAAAGATGAGTTTAAGGATTAAATGAATTTGGCATATTCAAGAGTGCAGTCTCCTTATAATAAGCAGATACTTTAACAATAAGACAAAAGCTTGTCTGAAAAGGTCATTTTGTTTGCACATTAACATACAAATACCTCATCAGCCTGTGAGTTAATTATGGAATCTACTAGCAGATATTTTTTTCTGTTTTGTCTTTGTTCTTTTCTATATGACTCATAATAAACAGCCTCTCACCAGAGCCGCAGGAGACAGAGCACGGCGCTGTGAAGACCGCCCATTTGCCTTTAGGGTGGATCTCTATCAAGTCACTGTTTCTGTTAGGTAAATAGAACTGGTAGCTGATGTTCGGATTTGTTTTCTCTCCGTATTCTTTTCCATATTTGCGATACACCTTTAAAGACAAAATTATAATATTGAGTATATAATAACAACTCTTGAGTGTTTTTTCTAACAGTGTGTCTATGTAAAAGATACATTTCTCAGCTTTTAAATTCTGAAGAATGTTTACCTCTTATCTAAAATAACATAATTTATGAAGATTCATGTTTTACTCTCCTCACCTGTACGTTTATCTCTTCTGTCAGCGGCCCTGGAAGCAGCAGCTCCTCCATCTCGGGCAAAAGGTCGGGGGTCAGGTGGAGGCGGTACTCTAGATGGTGGTCTTCCAGTGGGGAGGGGTGGGTCATACTCAGGGCCATGCTGCTTGTCCCGGACACAATGTACCGATCCCCAACCCTTACAGCTGCAGACACAAATGCCAAAAACAAATTCAGGTTTTAGTTCCTGTTATCCTTTTTGTAGAAATCTCTTACAAATTCAAGCTGCTCACCCATATGAGTGAACAGAGGTGATCTGTTGACAATATGAACCTGTGTGGCATTCACCGGCAGAGAGAGGAAGGTGGTGTACTCTGAAACACAAACCACTGAATTATAACTCACAATACCCATAAAAAAGGGCTGCAACTACATTAGTAAAAACATGTTTGCTATGACTCAATTATTTCTTCTAAAAATGTCCATAAGATGTGGTCAATTGATTTTCTGCCTTGTGTTGAATTGTTGTTTGCTACCTCTAGCCTGACCACCAGTGTAGGAGTCAGAGGTCAAAGTGCAGGATGATCCGCCTCCACCGCATACCCCACACACATCCATCACTTTCCCAGAATGCAGCACACCATCACAGCCAAACAGCTAATCAGAGACATACACATTTAAAACAGTGTGACTGTCAAAAGTAAAGCGTGAATAAATAAGACTGCATCTGCTTCTTCGTTTACTTGTTAATTTCTTTATTATTCTTTACCTGGCATTTCCCTCTGAGACATGTAGCTCTGGAGCCATATTGAGGCGGGCTGTCTGACTCACAGCGAGTCCCATCCACAAACTGAGAGCCCCGGCTCACTAGGAAATGTTCTCCTTTTGATTGGCACATATATCTGCACTGCTCCGCCCCTGGATAAGCGTTTCCACAATAGAAAAACATGTTATAGATACAGTTTTTTTCCTTTCACTTATGGAAAAAAAAAACGTTTTAAGCACACCTTGTCCAAATCCTATAGCAGGGATCCAGGTGTAGAAAGAGGCGGTGTTTGGTAGCAGGTAGAGGGGGTGGAGGTCTGTTTGGGAACACTGCTCTGCCATGAAATCAAGCTGCATTTGCTCACATGGCTGTGTAGCAAGAAAAAATGAAACATGAATATTTTTTATCTTGGTCACACCACTAAGTCTGACTTGTTATGTGAGCACAGGATAAACAGCTAACAAATACGGTCTGAGTAAATAGTATTGCCCTCCTGTACTGTATGGGGGCCCAATGTAAACAGTAAGAACTTACCTGCTGGTGACAAAGTCCAGCCTCAATATCCGGTCCCTCACAATCATCCCCTCCAAAAGCCGGTCTAAAACATTAAAGTAAAGTTTAGTCACGGGATCTTCAGCACTGACAATGACAGATGCTTGCATAACAATCTGTTACCTTGGGTTATTGCATTTCCGTGTGCGGTGAGAGACTCCCCCGCCACATGTCCGGGAGCAGGGGGAGAACTCAGACCAGTTGGACCAGGAGCCATGCACCACCACTGAGGAGCTGAGCTCATCAGCCGACACACAACGCCCCTTCAGACACCACTGGAAGAGAGAAACAAACAACATTGTAAATAATGCTCAGTGATTAAGAGAATGATTACACCAAAATGACTCAGTGACGACGGAGACCTGATTAGGTGCACACTCTGTCCCGTCCAGCAGAGGGACCAGGAGACGTTTGCAGGAGCTGTCGTCATCAGGGTGAAGGTGACAGGACAGGACACGACACGTTGGCTGAAGGAAAGGGTGACCAGTAATGCAGACATGACTGGATTTGTGGTAATAATGATGTTAGGCTGATATAACAGGTGACTTACCAGGTCAGGATTAGTGAAAGAACAGGCTCTTGCAGTGCTACCAAAAGCTATACGGCACTGGTCATCAACTCCATAATACAGGCCAGGCTTCCAGTCTTGTAGAGAGCCTCCCAGTGAAGGCAGGTCCGTCACACATTCAGCTTTTCCTTCTCTGGAAACATTAATACAATCTCATTGTCAGGTCCAGAGTAGAGCTAATATCTAAACTACTCACAGTATATCACCAGCTGTGGACAGTACAGGTTCTCAAGTTCTGCTTTGAGTACACATTTGGGGTACTTTAAATGCAAATAGGCAACTATTGGACTTTGAACTCCACTACATTTATTTTCTAAATTAATTCATTTTGAAGATTTATATTCCGATTAATAAAACTAAATATAATCGTAAAAAAAAGTTTAATGTATTAGAATAGTTTGGGAAAATGCAATTGATCTTTTGAAGACATTTCCAAGCTAACTCACAGTATAGTAAAAAAAAAACTACAGGCCACAACATTAAAATGATAAAAAATATTGTAATATTAATAATACATAAACATTATAATAATGTATAATGAGCCGTTATTATTTATTACTTTTACTTGAGTCAGATTTTGAACGCTGACTCCAATGGTGCATTGAATGACAATCTTAGGTATTTTACTTATATTAGAAACTTCACACATAAAGAAATAACAAGGTATGAATGAGATAATAGAATAAAGTACATAAAACGCAGTGGTATTACTATTTTTACCAAAGTAAAATATCTGAGTACCTTTTCCACCCCGTATACACTGAGAGTTCCTTTACTAAAGATCTAAAAAGCTTTTAAAGGATTTCAAAGCCAAATATTACTTTGACCTTTCTCAAATTGTAAGAAGGGATTTATTTGAACACAACCTGAGGTGAACACATTAAGATATGACCTAACGGTGAAATGCCCTTTCAACAGTCCTTTAATGCATAGCTGCTCTGAGTAGGTTGGCCCACCTGAAGAATGTGAGCAGCTGCTCTCTGCTGCAGGGCGACCAGGTCAGATCCACACTGTTGTAGCCCCCGTCAGAGGCCATCATGAACCCACTCCTGCTGCAGGTGTTTCCTACTCCGTCATGGTTTATTCCAAAACTAGGTAAAAGAAAATTAAATATGTTAAATATACTTTATTGCGTAGCTATTAAAATGGTTAAGCGATATCAATTGAAGTTGTTAAAAGTCTGTGAGGATATTTAAAGTTCTCATCCCCTTTTGCAGTGAATGCACCTCAGCTTGAGAATCTCAGTTTAATTAAAAACTATTGTATTTATGCTGTTCAGAACTCAAAGTGATTTACTCTATTCTTTTAACAAGGCAATTAAATCCCTTTTCCTGGTTCTATATACTATCCTAATATTTCATTAAAACTTTCCTAAAAAAAGGCAAGAAAGTTGGTATTGATTATAATGAAATTAGAAATGCGCTTGAGGAAAAATCTCCATTTAAATACAGAGAAATTATTCCTTCATTATCAATGGACACTTTTTTCTCCATTTATGTTTAATTATAAGCTTGCCAGCGACTGTCAAGGCAGCAATTTATTTAAAAATAATAATGTAATTAAAGGTATATCAACTAAACACTGTCCCTGCCTTTCCTATAATAGGTACACAGTTGTATAGTTCTTTCCAGGAAACTTCTAGAAAGGAATTACAAATTACAAATCTGTAAAAGAAAGTGTTACCTTATCCTCACACATATATTATATATAATGCAGATGTACTGTTGATCATGTGTGTGACTTTGCTTTACCTGTGGCCAATCTCATGAGTGATGGTGATCCCTAGGTCAAAGCCTGTGTCCTCTGTGATCACACAGCTCCATTCACTGGAGCAAGCCCCCCCCAGCTGTGCTACACCCCTGACCTGCTTGTTCCCATCAGGCAACACCAGGTCGTACCTGTTTGGGTGGGAGGGATTCAAATAAAACACGGATTGTTCATTCATTCAAAAGGTAAAAAAAGCATCAATATACGATACAACCAGCTTCATTTACCACACCTTGTAATGTATAACAGAAGATCAGCGTGAAGTGGGTCTGTATCATTTGAGGGGTTTATCCTTCTGCCCCAGTCACAAACACTTCTGAGAGAGGAGGTAATGTTGGGAGACATTTGGATCTCTGGCTAGAAGCACAAAAAGAATAACAATAATAAGGTAGGGATGGTAAAACATGGAACAACTGGGTGTGGGATTATTGTATTGTACACATCCAAAGGCACTGTGGATAACTGCAATAGCTTAGTTACCATCAATGAATAAATAAAAAAAAGGGTTAGGACTAGATTACTGTAACGTACTAGGCTACTTCTAAAATCTGGTAATTGATGAACTTGACTCTACACTGAACTTGTAGAGGGAGCTGCTTTTACCTCTGGCTCTGACAGGATGATCATGCGGACCAGGTGCACCCTCATGTTGGCGCCAAGGGCCATGTCTCTCAACAGCTCTGAGGCCTGGGGTGAAATGGGAATAAAAGTCAGAGGAATATATATCAAGAGGATGTTCAGAGTGTAATGCGATTGCAGTGCACTCTAAAATATGTCTTATCTGGTTATGAAAACACTTACCAATAGCCTACATCTTCTTGTGTTGTCTTTTACTTAACTTCATTAGCTATTCATTGCCCTTAATTTCAGTCCTATAGCTGTAAATAGTGAGGTGGAGTATTACATTTACTCTTGTTGTTGTAACCAACTCGTATTTTTGTGTTGTGACTATTAAAATGTGTTAATTATAATTTCAAGATGATAAGATAAATTCCCTTTTAGTATTTTGCACCAATTTAACTAAATATACCGATATTATTTTCATTCATTTTAAATCAAAATCCAAGCATCTTTTCTTCCTGTAAAACAAATTGGACGTGAGTTTAGTTTACCGTACATACGCTTCTAGTTACACATTTCTGTTTCTATTCTTCTGTAGCTCTATATACATTTTTAGAAGCTCAGTCAAATATGTAGTAGGCCTATAGATATATAATAGATAATATCTATCTATGATTTAAATCACTCTTGTAACTTTACATTGGTCAAATATTCAAGATTATTCAATTTTACAGGCGTACAGGCTAAATAACCTATATTAATGTTGATACTCTAACGTTGTATGCACAGGCCAGAAAGTCCCATCTAAGGACAATTAATTTGGACATGAGAGCTCTGAGGTGTAATGTGCGTAAATTGGCATTTATTTGTATCCTAAATGGGTGTTTTAATTAAATAGGTCTATCAGCATACATTAATTTTCGTAACCTCCCCCTTTCTCTTTCAAAATGTAAGTCAGCAGCTAGTGCAATAACCTAGTTTACTTGCTCTTGAGTAGAATTCTCTGCATTTCGATCCCTGGTTTCTTTACATTTTTCCATACATCTGATATAAGGCACACAACTGGCAATCTACAGAACATAATCAGGTTATTGTGTTTTGACTTACAATGTTGAGGTTGGTGAGGATGTACCGTTCTGTATCCTGCTTGTGGATCTGCTGGACATCAGGCCCTACAACCACCAGCAGTTCGAGATGTGTGATGTCAGGCATCAGAGTCGACCGAGGCAGCCGCCCACTCACTGTGAATTGGAGAAAACAAAGTATGGACATACAGGAGTACTCTGCTTGTGTACCTGCAGTTAACCAAGTACTGTAAGATGGTGTTACTGTATCACCTTCAATTACACCATGACAGAAAGAAGATAGTTCTCATTCCAAGCAGTCTTCAAACTGTTTTACTTTTCAGCCACACAAAGACATACCTGAGGTATCAGGAGAAGAACCAGGAGAGGAAACGATGTCTCTTTGTTTAGAGGAGTGATGAGAAAGCTTAAAGAGGACACAAACAAACAATTTTTAGATCCCTTTACAAACGGCCACTTTAATCAGTGTAACCAAACTTAGATGTGTGGCCCAAATACTGAATGAGAGCACGAAACTATTTTAGAGCTTTTGTTTTCTTAGTGTCTGCCATGTAAATCCAGTCAAACATAGTAATGACTCTCTGCTGGTTGGGGCTTTTCACAGGGTGATAAACTGTTTAAAGTTGAAGAGTTCAATGTACTTTGCAGTAGCAGAATCACTCACCGCAGTGCTCCTGTTCGCCCGCAGTTTTCCACCTACCTCTTCCAATGGAGAAGTCATTAGAGCGGCAAAGCCAGGCCACAGTAACAGCAGACAGAGCAGAGTTGTAAAAACCATGTTTCCCCTCTTCCTGTGCGACGACCTGCTCTGCTTTAACACCAGGACAATATGCGATCCTGCTCTTCAGCAGGACAGAGCCCGGCCAAGAGGATAAGAGTAACGTCTGTTTATGTAAACAGTGGGGACAAAGTTGATGAGTGGCGCATGTCATTTGCAAGTTCATTTTGTCAACGTTGGGACCAATAGAACAGCTTTCATTGTTTGGTTTTTTTCTACTACTAATTTGTGTAATTTTTTTGTCTTTCTTCACTGAGCAATGAAAACTGTTATAATCCATTTTAGAATTTTTGTTTTTGAAACATTTTGATTGTGAGAAAGAATTGGGCATGGCAGCTGCATACTTTTCTAAGTCCAACTTTGGATCAAACCAGTATTTATATTTTCGCCTTTGGCATCTGCAATCACTACTGATTTTAACCCAATTATTATAAATAAAATGTTTTGTGATGTTTCCTTTTTTAGCCATTAGAGGGCAGACATAATCCTCTGGTTGAACTGAAAGACACTGGGAGGGAAAGGAAGCTCACACACACTTTTCAACAGTGTAACATAATAACATCCCTTATATCCATGGCAGACATAAAACCATATCTAATTCTTAACTGCCTATTTGGAAGGCGGAAGATTTACAGTAAAGCTGACATTGAATAGCTTTAGCCTTTCGGTGGCGAAGTTTTGGGACCATGGGACCTTTTTTGCTAAATGTTACTATTAGTAGTGGTTTTATTTTTATCATTTGTTGGCTGTCATGTCAATGATAATGCTTTCTTTGCTTTTAGATGAAAAAAAAATCAGGTTGAACAGGCCCCTACAGATTTGTCATACTTTAAACTCAGCTTGTTTAAAACATGCTCCTCCTACTATAATAATGATACACATGTCCAGAAATTACCCAATTTTTCAACTTTTCAGATAAGCTCTACAATGCTCTTTAACCATACTGCATAAATGTGTTTCACCCATCCTGTCTGTCTGCTCCTCTCCATCCTCTTCCTTTCAGAGGGCGGATATTTTATCTCCAAAAAGCTAGGATTCAAGTCCCATCTGCTGTTAGTCTGCCAGATATCTGTCTGTTGTCAGTCTGAATTAACAGCTGGGTGTTACAGCCATTACACCACCAGTGCTGCTCCACTAAAACCTCAATGCCCTGCTGGATTTACAGAGCACAACAGACTGTGATAAGTGTGGCTGGATCCTCATACCCATGTCTGTTTGGAAGAGGGTAGGGATTGTATATTTATGATGCTCAATTATATATAACTAGCCATATGGGATGCTCAAGTGGGTACAACGGACGCCTCAGGAAATGTATCCCGGTGGTAGGTAATGAAAAATTAGGAACTTGCTTGGAAATTAAGTAAATCCTAGAGAACTGATAATGGATACGGCCACATTTCCTTTCCATCTTTGTTATGATAATTTCTGTCTCAATATCCATTATTATTATTCTACTAAACCTTCAAACTAGTATGTCACTTGCCACAAGCCTTTGGATAGACATTTGGCTAACTACAGTTTGTTTTGTGAAGCCCAACTTCTCAGCCTTTTATTTTGAGATGCATTTATGTAGAGTGCATACAAGTATTCTCGTTCATCCGCTGCCCTTTGTCATTCCCTCCATCTGTCATCCTGTTGAAGAAGATTTATGCTTGCAAAAACTATAAATGTTTACTATTCTTTTTATGACAGCCCATCAACTATTTTTTTTATTTTGTTTGGGTTTTGTTGGAAGGTTAAAAATTAATGGTAGAGTTTTATTGTTTTACAGAGAAAGATTTATTTCAGGAGCTGGTATGAGGATCTTGCTTTCTAAGCACAGTCACAGCCTGAGAGAAAACATTATGAAATATCTAGCTTTACTCTTGCAAGTCATCAATTGTCTTGTTTAAATTTAGCAAACCTTTCTTGTTTTGACTCATTGAAGCTGCTTTTCTGTTGGGAATGTGACTATTTATAAAACTGCCAGAGTTATGGATCAGATGTTGATTAAACGTTACATAAAAATATCACCACCAAATAGTCATAACATCCGTTTTTCAAATATATTGATGTTTCTCTCAATCATTATTTGCTTTGTTTATGAGCAACTCAAGTTCTAATACGACAAAACCCGTAAACTCCAGAAAGATGGAGGTCTTTACTCCCTTCTTCTTTTTGTTGCTGCTAATTAAGACAAATATTGTGATGGTGTATTCTCAGCACTAAGACGATGACTTTTCATCCTGTAACGCAATACTGAAGGTGCTAAAACTCAGTGGCACTACAAAATATACAGACATTTTCCAGGCAGTGATTTTCTCCAAGTAGTCCCCCAGCTGTTTTAGCACATGTCAGCGTATCATTGAGATGTGAAGACGCTGCAGGGACATTTAATGATGCCCCTGTGATGATGAGGATTTAATGACAATGCTGTGTGGTTTCTGATAAATGGACAAATATCGCAAGTAATTGCAAAAAAACATTTTCAACAGAAGCGCTTTTTTTATTGATGGAAACTCTTCACTTTCTAATGTTTATATGCATATCGGAACAAAAAAAGAATGGAAACCAGTTGCAACTTTGACATGTTTCAATGTGGATGTTTTTGGACTGAAATGTTTCACATTTTTCATCAGGAGGAGCCTTGACATATGGAACAACCGGATAACCGTTTCTTATAACCTACAGTTTAATGTTAGTTAGTGGTTAGTGGTGAACTGCGCAAATAGTGAGATCTGGAGTTGAAAAAAAAGAGTCCTAAAAAGAATCACACCTGGTCCCAGGAATACAGCATAACAAATAAAATAAAAAGATTTTGCCATGGTCTCTTTCTCCAGTCTTCAGCCTTGTTCCCTCTGGGACTACTGTAACTGCAGTGAACTGCATAAGGGACTGCAAAGAAGGGCATTGAATACAAAGATGGCCAAGTCACACATCCTACATTTAGACCTTACTCTCCAATAAATGGGCCGAAAGCTCCTATTGGGCTGTGGAATGATGGTGTAGCTGTGTTAATGGACACATGCTATTACTAAACATCTGTCGACATGCAGCTGACGAGACCAGAATTATAACAAGCTGAACATGGAGGTCTAATTGCAAAATTTAGACTCAAGCACGAGCAAGAGGAATAACAAGCATGAGTAACCAAAGTGATACATTGAGACTCGTGCGGAAAGGTGTCATGCCCTAGCGTCTTTTATCTGGCATAATAATATCTCAATACGTGTAAAGACTGCAGAACATTAATCTTTTACTTCAGAAATCTGTTTATGTTTCCTTCTCCTTTAGCAAATGCCCTTCTATACCTAAAATATGTGTTTCTCTCATTCCCTCCGCTGGCCTTCTGCTCTCCAAATCAGTAATTATGTAGACTATGTTTAGATTACCTCAACCTGAATGAACTTGCTCTCTCAATTTGACATCCCACTCAAGCTTTTAGAAATTTAGACTCTCGTCTAGAACTTTCATGATACCAATGGATTTCTTATATCATGACTACCTGAATAACTATTACAGAAGTACTTTGAAACAACTTGTATTATATAAAACTATTGAATCTTAAATATTTTAATTGTAATTTTTAGCCTGTGAAAAAAGTTGTATAATGTATTTTGTAGCTCTTAAGGGAGCTTTTGAAAGTCTGAGAAAATGATCCTCATAATGCCATCATGTGGTGATAATGATGTGATCAGGGCAATAAAACTAATAGACATGTCACATGTGTTAAGACCTTTTGGGTAAAGGAAAATTAGGTATAACTGAATACTCTTGAGTTGCATTGTGGGAATTATAGTGAAGTGAGCTTGGTCCTAAGGCCTACTAAGTTAACAACTCAGAAAATCTCAGCTAATCCTTCTTCATTCATTTTTGACTATTTATTTGTAATCTCTTTTGATTCCTCCAACAATAAAAGTTTATGCTTAAATCCCACATAATCCCTTTATAGTCTGAGATTAAGATGTAGCTAGAAAATGACATCCTACTTAATTTTTTAATAATAGACTATGCTTACACTTTAAAGCAGGGGTGGGGAACCTCCGGCCCCCGGGCCGTATACGGCCCGCGAGACCAATTGGTGCGGCCCTCGAGGTAATTTATAAACACACGCAAAAAAGAAAAGAATTAAAGAAATCTAGACCCCAAAAAAATTAAACAAGTGAGTGCCTGTTTTTCCTGGCCAAGGTCAGGGTCCTTGAACACAACACGAGCCTAACGTGTCATCACCTGGTCATCACGTGGTATATTTAAGCAATAGGTCACGACAAGCCGTGGTATATGCTCATTATATCACAGCTAAGAGGCGTGGTTCGGCCCGCTGCGAAGCGGAGTGTCGACAACCCCCTTAGCTGTGATATAATGAGCATATATCACGGCCTGAAGTGAGCTATTGCTTTTATAAAACGGTTACCAAGTGTGGCAATATGAAAGAAAAATACACACTCTAATTTAAATAGTTTTTATTTGTAAATAATGATGTTCAAAATAAAATAGTCCCTCCGTTGCCATATGCACAAAACATAGTGCAAGGTGGTTGCTATGCAACAACACTAACAGCAAGCGAACATATTAGACAGAGAGCGTTGATCCATTATTTGGCTGTTTATTTACATTAATGTGTATGTTGCTGTTTATTGTGTATCCACTGAAAAACTGTCCAGCATCAGTAGCATGGCTTACGTGGTCACTTGTATAGGTTGAGGTTGTTCGAGGCTGTTGCTTGGCGTGGCGAGAATATTGCTCCACTTTCTCCGGTCCCCGAGATTGGGCTTCCAAGTAGCTCTGGAGAGAGCTTTCGCACCTGTGGCCACTAACGGTCATAATTTCTCTGCTTTGTTTCAAGACCCGCATCAGAAAGCTTTTGAATGGTGCTACTTTTCCAGTTGGTCTACCTGCTCTTCACGTAGCTCTGCATGTCGTCGTTTAGGTGCTTTCTTGAGATAGGCACTGCTCAATCCACT